TCTTTATTTCTTTATTTCTCCTTTCTCCTTTCTCCATTTCGCCATTTCTCCTTCGCCCTCCCTCTCCCTGGATGCTCGCGCCGCGCTCACAATTTTTTTCCAAAATTTCAAATTCCGACTTTGGGATTTTTCATCTTTGAACTTCATTCCCCGCCTTTGATACGTCGCCCGTGGTTTACGAGCAATTTCCTAATTGAGCAAATTTTTTCTTAAATCGAGCAAGTTTTGCCCCGATTGCGCACAAGTGCTGTCGTTTCCTTCCCTCCGTTGGCCCCGCAATTGCTCAATTAGGAAATCAGGGACGCGCCAATTCCGAAGACCCAGCAATTCCAAAAGAGCGCCAATTCTCCACAAAGCGCGCCAATTCCAAAAAGCGCGCCAATTCCAAAACCCCGCCAATTCCAAAAGTCCGCATACATGAACGAGTGCGAGTGATAGACAAACAAGACTCGCGTGCGCATATATAATCCAAAGCTTGGGATCTAGACAGACACACACACACACACACACATACACCTGTCTCTTATACACATCTAGATGTGTATAAGAGACAGCTCCCCTCTCTCTCCCCGTCTCTCTCTGTGTCTCTCTCTGTCGCTCTCTGTCTCTCTGTTGTTGGGTCTTGCATCTTGTCGTCTTCCTCGTTGTCACTGTTTGCCCTCTCAGAAGAGGCGTCTTTCCGCTAATTAATTATCGGTCGATTTGTTTTTGTCAATTAGCTGTTGCCACGTGGACAGACGATGAGCGAAGCTACGCGTGGATTTATCCGAGCGAGGTGATGACGTGGCACGTTTGTGTCAGCAGCATCTTCCCTTCTTCGGAATTTTCGTTGTCTGTCTTGTGAAATCATCGACACGGACACGTGTCATCCAATGTTCACTCGATTGGCAGCACTCGTACCATCATCCGGTATAGTTGATTGACACGTGGTTTCATCGTTCGCGTTAGTCTGCACTCCGACGAAGCCGGGTCTGGGCTCTCTTTGACCCTGGTACTCGACAAGTGACCGTTCTCTGTTTGCTTCACACGTCCTCGTTCTTCCTATCGACACGTCATCCTGTATCACACGTGTCATCCATCACGTTGTGGCATCGTTCTTCGTATCATCATCTTGTTGCACACGTGTCATCACGTGTCATCATTCTTCGTCGGTACTGACACACGTGTCATCATTTTTCGGTACCGTTTTCTCGTAATCGACACGTGTCATCGATCGCTGTCGTGAATGACACGTGGGTCATCATCTTGCGACACAATTCATACATCTTGTGGCATCATTCTTCTTCGTCAAATGGACACGTGATCGCTGTCGTAGATGCCACGTGTCATCATATGGCGCATCGTTTCTCGTCATCGGCACGTCATCATTGCCGGTAAATGAGGCCTTTTGTAATTACTACGTAATACAAATATGTGATGATGATACGTCATTCTTCTGTTGTTCTTCGACACGTCACCGTTCTGCCAATCGACACTGTTCTCGTAAATGCCACGTCACTCATCATTCTCGTAATTGACACGTCATTCGTCGTTCTTGTAATTGACACGTCATCGTTCTGCCAAACGACACTGTTTTCGTAAATGCCACGTCACTCATCATTCTCGTAATTGACACGTCATTCGGGACCACCACGCATCGGCCTTTGCGTAATGGACACGTCATCGTTCGTTCTTGTGTAACTGACACGTCAGGTCCTCGTTCTGCTGTTAATCAACACGTCACTCTATTTTGTTGATTAGTATAGCTTAATTATTACTTAATACAGTATGTTTATTTTCGCCGTGTCAAACTAATCAACGATGAGAGAGCGCGCGATTATAAACTCAGGGATGCAATGATTAGATGAGAGGAGGAGGAGGAGGAGGGGGAGCGGCGCACGCGCTGTAGTCCTGCTGCTGTAAGTCTGCCTGTCTGCTGTGAGGCTATCCGAAGTTAAGTTGCGGACAGGTCGCGACGTAGAATGGTCGGGACGGACGACCGGGGGGCGGTAAACGACAAACAGCGAAAGTACTGAGAAACTTCACCGAAGGTTCCGAGCGACTTCACCGCAGGTTCAAAGGAACTGCGAAAGAACTGCAGCGGGGCCTTGAGTCCCCGACCGTCCCGGTCCCGACCGGAGGAAGGAGGCTGCCCGAAATTTCGGTCGCGGCCAGGGTTTTTGGCTCTCGCACCAAAAGTCTTTTTTTCCGCGTACACCGTACCGAAAGTTCAGTCGAAAGTTCGGTCGAAAGTACTGCCGAAAGTACTGTCGAGATAAGGGCAAAACTGATCTAATAATAAATAAATAAATAAGTCACTTTCCCGCGGAAATGGCCTAGTCACACACACACACGGCCGGAAAAAGTTCCCGCGCATTTCCTTAGTCGGACACGGGATATGAAGAAAGCCCTCTGGTGGGGAAGATAAGCCGGAGGGAGGGAGGGAGGAGGGAGGGAGAGCAGAGAGTTGGAATACCTCGGCCTGATTCGTTGCGCCTCGGCGCGCTTCATCGAGTGGAGGTGGTCTTTGTCTTTAAAACACAAATATTAGTTTTCTTTTTTTTCCTTGAGGGGGGGAATAGTACTTCTACTTCTGTCCTGATTCAGGCAGTTAGCAGTGCTAATAAAAAAAAAAAAAAAAAAAAATCTGGTCCTGCGTGACAGTGTGTTGGACTAGAAGGGCAGGGAACCGATTTAGTTTTTCTTTCACCACGACTAAACAGGACGGAAAAGAGGGAGGGGGAGAAGGAGGA